GAAAGCAAGGCTCTGTGAAATTAAATTGAAATATCAGCTCTACTCATATGATTGTGGGAAAATTCTACTATCAGTCCTTCGTCACCTTACACGAAATAGGGTGAATACATCTTATAAAACTTAGCATAATTGAAATAGCCTTGATGGTTTTACAGAATCCAACATAGCCACAAATGTTACACTATGACTAAATCTTAAAAAACATACGACGATAAGTACTTTTGACTAGAGTTGGCCAAGATCCGCATCAGGCGGAAACATTATAAAAATAAAACAAATAAACACACAAAAATATCCTTGCTAGTATACAGATTATGAAACAAAATATAATTTAAATACCCATCACTTATTTTCGAAGAATGCCTACCACCAAACTTATGCATAATTGTAAAATGTAATTAAATGGAAAACAGTAGGACTAACGCATGGGACAAATGCACAAGATACACCGAAATCATGAGATCCCAACAGATATGCATACAGAGAAGGTCCACCATATGAGCTTGAGTAATAATATACTTTTTATAATAAAATGTATAGTGTTTGCACTACTCATCTGCTTATAAGTATCAAACAGTTTAGTTAGGAATTGTATTAATAAATTGTTCTTGTTTAAACAAGTAAAGGTGTGTAATGAAGAGATTCGTATAGGTCAAGTTTTTCATAAAAGGAAGATGGACTTCTTCTGGTCATCCTTCATTCAGCCTGAAGCATGCCTCGGGCAAATAACCTTCGGTCCGCCTACGTGCACATAAAAGCAGACGCACGCACTTAAAATATATATCACAAAACGGCATATCTTAAGACTAGCTATAGATCATATAGAGATGATCCCGAGAATGGTCTTTATTAGTCGGCTTGAATAAGCCCTAAAAATGGTACCCAATGTCGACGGGCATGGCAGACGAGAGGTGAGCACTTTTTGCATCGGATTCGTAGAAGATTGACACAAAGACAGTCTAAAAAGAGTTCCTCTTCGTCTTCTGCTTGGATCAACGCTGCCCAATCTCTTATTCTCACCCACTTTCATTCAACACGCTTGTCGACTCAACACTCGTGAAATAAGAAATGCTTCGGTAGACACTTGCTCAAAGAACGTACAGACAATCAACACGCCTACAAAGTGACTAGCAAACTTATCGAGGAATGGAGGCCAAAGCATGTGGACAAGCCATTTCCACATCGGCTTTGCAACTTGGACTCTCCTGCGTGGAAGAGGAGGCAAACAACCAGCCCTACCAACGCGCATTCAGGCTCTTGGATGGTTCTACACTCCGTTTCGATACGAAAACGCGGTGGTTGTCGACTCAAGCCGATTCTCCGAGCCGCAGTGCCGCAAGAAGAGAGAAGACATTTAAAGGTTGATCTCATCAAAGAGATGACGGCCAGTCCTGATTGGCTCCGTCCACGAGACATCCTCCCTCGTTTAGAGTGAAAATGGGAACAGCTCTTGTTCGTCATGGCCACCAGATGAGCATCCTTAGAGCTGCTTAATGATGTTTCTAATTTCACTCACATTCACCCAAAATATTATATTAAGGTCTTTAAACAAACCAGAGATGTCAGATTACGCAACCACAGTCTTACTTTTCCTTTGAGGGTTAAACGTTATTAACCCTTGACCGAAGGGTTAGGACTAATGGTTTCGTAATTTGATTA